TTTATATATTATATATTACAAAAGTTATTTAAAAGCATGTTTATTCCTTGGTTGCATGGCCAATACGCCAATACGTTTACACATGAGAATTTGGGTTATTTTTCCAAATTTTTTGGCGCTTCTGAATTGGAACGTATCGCGAATAATTGAAGATTTAGTTAAATTGTTTATTAGACGGATATACATAATAGATTTTTCATAGATTTAGTTAGTAAAAACGGTTCTTCGGACTATCATATCAATTATATTTATTTTCAAGTATTTAATGCGTTGGTATTATGTGTCTATTTCTAAAAATTAGAAGTTCGATTTGTATGAAGTTTGTCACCTTTACTACCAATCATTGAAACTTGAATTAATTCAGTCGAGTTAGCTCCATATCAATACTGATCAATTTTTCAAAAATTTTCATCTATTATATAGAAAATAATAAGTCAGGGTATTATATTACTTACGTTATTCAATATTGAACCTGAAATGTAATTTCAAAGTACAGATTTATACTAAAATTTGTAAAATATATATTTACTTGTATTTCTATTTCTAGTTCTATAAATACACTTAGTAAAGACAAAAGTGAAGGAGAGCGCTTAAAGCTTAGAGTTAGTATAAAAAAAATAAAGATAAAGATAAGAGACTTATTAAATTTATAGTACAGAAATAAAGTAGGAATATCGGTCAATGTTAGCTATGACCAATTAGTAATAAAATAAGAGGTAAAAGTTTATTTGGTAAAGATAGCAACATAGACACGTAGAGAGATAGATATATCAATTAGAGATTCAAAAAATTTTGATATTTTAAGGTCGAGAAGTGTGTTTAGTAATAGAATTTAGTGAAATATAATTTTAATTTGGAAAGCCAATAATTTTTGAATTTTTACTACAAAATAAATTTATTAATTAAAAATTTTGTTTATAATATTATAAAATTTTAAATTACTCTACGCAGCGTCCACGTTGCATCTAAACGTCAGACTTTAGCACCCCAAGCACGTTTAATTAAATACGCGCCTTTCTCTGCTATCATCACAGCTGGTGCATGCGTATTACCAGCTGTTACTTTTGGCATAATAGATGTATCCATTACACGCAAACCACGTACACCATGTACACGTAACTCATGATCAACAACCGCCATGGGATCCCGTGCTGGTCCCATTTTACACGAACCTGCCTGGTGATTTTCTGGACCAGTATTTTGACGCACCGCACACTCCCAATAAGCGTCTGAACCAAAGGTTTGTGATTCACAGCCCGTTACCACTGTACGATCTAAACGCATACCATATTGTTTCATGGGTGTTGTTTGTGACAGTCGTATAGCAAATTTGATGCCCTCGACAAGTGTTTTGACATCACGTTCATCGGTTAGATAATTTGCAAATATACGTGGGGATGCCATTGGATCAGCCGAAGCTAGTGTGACATAGCCACGAGATTTTGGATTTAATACTGCTGGAAATATTTGTATGCTGCGTGAATTATTTGAAAGTAATTCGCCCACTTGACCGGTACGTGCACAACTTGCCAAATAGCCACCGAAATAATATTGTAAATCTGGTACATCGGGACGATCAGCGTAACGTGATGCTACTTTACCAGTTACATCTGATATACCAGTACCGGACATAAGACCATCGCGGAAAAGTAAATATTCCATAGCTGTAGCCCAATTCAGTGGAGCTGTATCTGCATCCTCAATAAAGAAATTTGTGAAATAAGCAACGTGATTGTGTAGGTTTTTTCCGACACCGGGTAGATTATGAACAGTACGTATATTGACCTGATTTAAATAAAAATAAGTAATTAAGTAAAAAACCAGTTAGAAATTTTTATTACAAATGAATAATACCTTCATTAGATCTTCTTTGGGTCCAATTCCACTAAGTAAAAGTATTTGTGGTGAGTTTACAGCACCACCACTTATGATAACTTCTTTTTTCGCAATGATTTTACGCATGCTTCCAAACTGATCTACAACCTCAACACCGAGCACAGTCTTGGTATTGGCATTAACCAGCACTTTTGAAACTGTTGTGTTGAGTAGAATGTGAAGATTATTGCGTGTACGGGCAGGACGTAAGAAAGATCGTGCCGAGCTGTAACGTATACCATTGCGTGCTGTCATTTGAGCAATCATGAAGCCGGTTGAATTTTGTCCATTAAGATCTTGTATTGAAAAGCCTGTATACAATGTAATGATATCAATATCGGTTAAAACTTATTATTATGATAATGGTAGATAGCAGGGGTAGCTTATAGCTAGCTATGGAGACAACAGTCGCATTTAATATGTAATGAGAATCATCTGTTTTAGTTATAAATAATTAAATTTGTCACGCTAGGCAAGCAAACTAAGCAGGTATTTTTTGAAGGGGGCTAAAATTTTCTAACTTTATCTGCTCATAATTATTATGCCTGAAATATAACATAAAAGGCACCTATTAGATGAAGATATCTTTTAGTGCAGAATTTGGTTTTAAAATGCATGTCAATCTTTGATCTTTATATAGTCTTCATTTCATATAACCAGCGTTTTCGAGTTCAAACGTATCGTAAGTATATGCAGTTAACGGAATAACCCTTAAAAATAGTGTGACATAATTTTATCTTTGATCCGATATATTAATGTTACCTTTTCGTAAAGGCTATATGAAGGGTAAAATAATGCCTGTATCTAATGTATTTGTTGATGTAGAAAGTTTGGCTAACCCAACCGACCTTTAGTTGTCATTATGACTAATAAATACATTGACAACTCTAACTTACCTAATTCTTCGCCAGCTTTTAAGATAGCATAAGATAGTGGAGGATTGTATGGAAATTTCGAAACAGGTAATAGTCCACCCTTTGCATGATATTCTGTGCCTACTTCATCCAATTGCATATTATCTTCAGACTTAAGGAAAAATGGTAAGACATCTTTAAAACTCCAACCCGGGTTTCCCATAGCAGCCCAATCATCATAATCTTCTCGGTTGCCTCGAATGTACATCATACCATTCAGAACTGAGGTACCACCAAGAACTTTACCACGAGGCCAGTAACAGCGTTGACCTTCGGATGAAAGACAAGCCATTGGTTCTGGTTCAGTATTATAACGCCAATCAATATCGCTGCCAATGAAATTCAAAAACATAGAAGGTATTTGTGCCCCAACGGGTTCATCACCACCTTTAATTAAAAGAAAATACAAAATACAATTAAAAATATTAAATAAAATTAATTAATATAACTAATGTAATATAATATTAATTATTCTAAATATTTAGACAGTCTACAACATGAATACAGGAATACTATACTTTATAACTGGCATTTTTTCGATAAAATCTTGGGATGCCAGAGTTCAATTAGTTTAAATTCATTTTAAAATCTAGCTGTTGCCTGATTTTTTTATACTATAAAGAAGGTGTGTAAGGGACTAGGCAAGTATAACTAAATTTTTTTTCTATATTATTAAAATCAATTGATTTATAAAATCTTTCTCACATTGTTTGAATTTAAAAATTAATCTGGAAAAAATCAAGAATATATTTGTATTAATAATTTTACCAATATCTCAAGTTATGGTTTGATAAATTAATTTTTTAATATGGGCTGTTATTATAATAAATGTTTTGAAGGCACCAGGAGTTAAGTCTCCTGAGGAGTTAAGAAAAAAATGAGAAGAAAAAAAATTAAGTAAGAAAAAAATGATTCTTTTCGAAGCTTGTAGCTAATGGCAAATATAGTAAATTGATGCTTCCAAATCTATTTTACAGAGGGTTAACTGTTTGCAAAGTGATTTATAGTGGGATACTATTGTTAAAAAGTTTTCTTTATTCAACTTCTGATAATTTCCTTTAAGTGCATATGCGTTAATCTGGACTTTCATGTTTTTAAGTATTGGATCAGACATATGAGGTTTCAGAAGTTTTCAATCTTAAGTAATAATATATCATAAAACGATAACAACTAATATTAACTATCCGCAACTATACTATAGCTCTAAAAGCAGTTTCGAAGATATTTATATGTATATACTACCATAACTTTGGTATGTAACTTATAACATTTCGAGCACATACTTGAAGAAAACTTGATTACGGAGAGGTATTTATAATATAGAAATCCAAATACCTATTTTACCTGCAAATTATATTTAAAAACTCTTTAGTCATGATGGAACCAGGTAGTATATTAAAATTCAACTGCCACAACCACTTCTGCAATAAAAATGGATTTGTCAGAATTAGTTTTCGTGTAGTGAATTTTTCTTGAAGTGGTGACTGTAGATGGGAATGGCATACACATCATAAAAAATCGAAATAAAAGTTTTTCATAAATAAAAAACAGTTCATTCAACTGATATTGTGTTTAATTTACTAAAAACGTGATGATATATTAGGAAATGCAAATAAAAATAAACTGTTTATAGATTTTAATATCAATATAATATTTAGTAAATTAATTATTACCAATATCAGATATTGTACTTCGCAAAATTAAACATTGCTTACATATAAACCAAAATAACAAATATTATATTAATATAAAAAAAATTAAGTTATTTATATATATTAAAAGAATATTAATAAATAATATATCATGTTTCCACATAATATTTACTTTATCTGTCATTAAATTTGTTTTGTTGTTTTAGCACAATTTTAATTTAACAAATTCCTTTCACCATTATTATTATAAAAACAAATTTGCATAACGTAAAATTTTTATTAATATAACTTGAATTTTAAGAAACCAAATACTGAAATCCACACAAAATACAAACGTATACATTTTACTTATAGTAATAAAAAATTTTAATTATTTTTATTAACTTTTCGTTAAACTCAATTAGGCTAAATACGAGTAAAGTATTTTGACAAAAAGTTCGTGTCTTAAGTTTTTTGTCCGCACAGCCTTGAGCTAATTTATTCAAGCTCCTTATCAGTCATTGCACTTTAGCTTTGTTTATTATTATTAATAAAACTTAAAGCTAATTAATTTTTTTATTAACTTTAATAACTAATAAAATGCATTTCCGGAAATAATCTAAATTTTTATTTAAAAAAAAATTTGTATTATTAAGTAAAAATTTAATCGTATCAAAGTCACAAAAATGCTGTGACTAAAACTTTTAGCAATGACAGATAAAATGATTTTTAATTATTTTTTCTACAGTTACTTTGAAATTTATTATACCAAAGCTAAAAGTGATTTATCAACTTTGACATGAGATCGAAATTCAAAATTAAAATGTTTAAACCACAAACTTCTACTGAAAAAAATTAACACAAAAACAAGTACCGTGGGATTAAAACTCTGTGGATCAGATTTTGTCATTTTCAGTGCATCATCATTGAATAGAAGTATTTCTTTAAATAAAAGAGACAGGTATTTCATAATATAGTATATAGTGCAAAAATAAGAAATGTATGTATATACTTATTAACTATCGTGAATCACCCTACGTAACTACTTAGGAGTATAAACCACAATTCAATATGTATTTCATTTTAATATTCGTACACAAAAAACACTCACTCTTAAAAAACACTATAAAATTTATGTTTTTCATTTAATAACCAATAAAAAAAATATATTTCAGACACGAGGACTATTATCGTTAAACATGATTAGTGAAAAGTGATCATTTTTTTTCTGCTGACAGAAGAAGCTCTATGACTTTGAAAGGATCATCAGTGTTAAACGACATTCATTTAGTTATTGAAAACACTAACTAGAAGTGCAGAACTTAGACTAAGTGATTTTTTAATTATTTTTTAAAATTTATTTTTTTATCTTAAAATAAAATAATTATTATTAAAGTGATTTTAAATTTGTTTAAGATATTTAAATTTCATATATACTCATAGAAAATACTAAACTTCTATTGAAAATTCATAAAACTTTAACACAAGTACTGGATTTTATAAAATAACAATAGGGGTGTTCACTCTGTCTTGCAAACTCATTGCAAGGTGAACAAAATGCACAGATTGCACGAGCGTGTAATGGACTACAACAAAAAACACGCTTTTAGTTTCTTGCAATTGCTTGCAATCTTGCTATACCAAAACCCGTGTATATATGCTTGCAACGAAACAAAAAAGTATAAAAAACTGCTATGTACTGCAAAAACAGCTGCTTCATTTTGATGTTGTAATTCTGCAACAGATGTGTTCTCGCGTTATTGCAATTTTAGTATAGCATTCTTGCGATTCATGCACCTTGCAATGACTGCAAGATAGTACCCCCAACGTCTTAAGTATACATTCAGTCAAACTAAATGATAGAACTACGAGTAAGTTTTTTCGTACGATTCTCCAATCAGAATTACTTTACTTTATTAATATTAAACATACGTTTTTTGATAGTTTGCCTAATCACTAATCACTAGCGGTTTGTCTAATCAGTTGACGTTCCAACTTTAATTTAGAGAATATGGAACCCAGAAATATAAAACAAACTTTCGGCTGTTAATTGATTTGTAAGTAATAGACCCGCCTTCGATTATACGTCACTTTATATTGAAGCTCTTAAAGTAAAAACTTCCACAAACATGTCACCTGACAGATCTTTTATACCTTTGCTTTGTATTCGTTATATAAACTTTAAAAAAAATTAGATTTTTACAAAAAATTAATAATGTGACCACTATGTATATTAACTTTTAATGAAAATATTATAGACTATGTTCCACGATTGTATGTAGAGATCACGTACTATAATATCGATTGTACTGACTGTAGGGTGCATGCATTTTATTGCATAAAATTACTTTACCAGAAATAGTAAGAAAAACTTGTTTCAATGCAAATTGTAAACAAACAAAAATTCTACTTTACTTTTCGATTTTTAATTTATTTTATTAATTAGTAAAATGACTTATTCCGCAAATTAAATTAAAAATATATAAATTAACTCTTTAATTCAAAATAAATTCTATTTGTAAACATTTTGAGAACAAAAGTCTTAGAGATCAAATCGGTTAACAAGTCTCAATGTATATATAATCTAAGTTTATTTATATCAAAATATTTTTAAATAAATAATATAATAATATATATATGTAATAAATTTAAATATAGAAATAAATTTGTTTAGAATAAGCTTATATAAAAATATTGTATATTGATATATTAAGTACATATAATACATAAATACTATACAAATAAAATAATGTACATAAATGGTAAATAGATATAATAAGGAAATAAAAAAATCTACTCAAAACTAAATAGTTTAAATATTTAAGAATTATTTCAAAAGACCAGTTCAATCAAAGGTTTAACGATTTTTCAAAAAAAATAATTTAGTTGTCTTATGGATTATGGATTAAGATAGTCTAGAATTTCCTATTATAGTTTTAAATAGTCTGAAATTGGCTCCAAAATCTCAATAAAGTTGAAAACAATTAATTCTGTCTAAACAGCACCACGATTCCGATTCTCCGGAATAAATTTAATGATTCTTATTTAAATATAAGCTTTCATATAAACTTTGAATTAATTCACTTAAATAAGTCCCAGTATACGCCAATATTACTATATATACATAACAACGTATGGAACAGCTACTTTGTCTTAATGATTGTTCTGATATTTGTGTTCACTCTTCGAATTAAAGCCAAAATGTCAGCCATTGAGGACCTCCTAATGTCAGAAGGAGAAAGTAATTTTTGACCCAGTGACCTCCTCCTGGTTCAGATCAACGCTGGGCAGTCACAGATAATGTTCCAGTCACATTTTCCAGTCTCATCTGCTTCTAAGTACAGTCGACAATCTATCTCTTCAGATAGACCTATTTTGTTAAGGTGATAACGCAGTCCGTGGTGACCCGTAAAATATCCCACCAGCATCCTCAACTCTGTTTTGCCTAGGAAGGATACCTTACCGTTACTATAGATTGCGCGAAAACTCATTACCATTGATTTCTGTGTGACCAGGCACCCAGCAAAGCATTACTTTGTATTTAATAATGTAAAGTTTAACAAAATTTAAAAAATTTGCTTTCAAATGCTGATTAATAAATAATTTATTTGAAAAAAATACAGTTTATTTTGTAGAAAACATTTTCGAAATTTTTAAGTTTAAAGAAAATGTATATTTAATTTTTAATGGTTAAGTTATAAACACTTTATTTGAAAAAAATACAGTTTATTTTGTAGAATAATATTTAAAATTTTT